ATTATATATTGATGAACGGGCAAAAGTTAATTATACGTGGGGCTATTTCTCAACACTGACAAGAGCGTGTCGATTTGAAGCGAGGATAACGAACACAATGATATTACAGTCCTCAGGAATAGCATATTCCCCAGAATCTACTGGATTGATGGTTATAGTCTAATTATGGTGGATATTATGTTTTATTAATCAAAAAACCAACTGGATAGAGCAGCTTGTTTTTCCTTCAGGATATATCAAAACGATGATGAGACAACGCAGGTGTTTGCCGCTTCATAATCACTACACGGGGCATATACAGACCTGCTGTAAACCAACGTATTGCCGAGTAAGACCCGATTACATAATAGGTTTTTCCTGGTGCATTTTGTTCTAATAGAATCTCTCGAAAATACTTAACCTATTATCAAAAACAATTATAAAGGTATATGTCTATTTGGTACGAGTATTTCTTGGCTTGGCATTATTTAAAATATATTTGGCATTTGAATAAAAACAAATATATTTCTCATTTTTCATTCACTTTTTATATTAATTGCATACATTCCGAATGGTTTCTGATATATGACATCGTAATTGGGTACTTTGGGGCAGGATTGATAATTTCATTGTTTGTTACCCTCCAGATAATGATTAATCATTCATCGATATGAAAGCAACGTTCTTTTATATGTCTATCTGTTTCTATGTCTATCTCTATGTATACCAATTACCAAGTGATGACATCAGTAGGTCTTATGCCTAAGTCACATTTGATCTACGGCAACCGTACTGCAGTCGTAGCTTACCAAAATCGAGAAAAATCTGAAGCATAAAAAGCAGGGATAAAAAGTACGATGTAGATTTTCTTCATCGATTTTTTTGCCGTGCCATGTGACAGGCTTTACTCAGCGACTTGCTTGTTGTTTTTCAGACGTGTCCGGGTATTAACCGTGTATAATCATAAAAATACATCAACATTATTTTATCGCTTCCAGCGGCCATGCATAATACATCATCAATTGCGTCATCAACGGAGTTGAAAGTAGAAAACGCCACAAGAAACAATCATGACGGCCGATTTATATCAATTATTTCTGATATATTGATAAACATTGTACTTTATAAAATTTTCTACGTAATATTGAATTCCTTGACAACTTTGAGTGTTCATGAGCAGGGTGCAAACCTTTTCTAATTCCAACTTTTTATTTTCAATTCAGTAAACTTTATGGTGATTGTCTTTTTTCCCGATCACAATGTCAGCATCACCAAGAATTTTCATGAGGTTAATTCGCATCATATAATGTTCTAAAGTACTTAGTGCAACACCAGGAGATATTTAAAAAATCTGATGATCAAAATAAAACTCCCATAAACTATGCATTTATGAATACATTTTGAGCTATAATCAATATAAATCATGAATGTCGTCAGAACACCATGTGTTTTATAAACTCTTATATTCATTATTTTCATATAAAGTAACAACACATAATTTTGCTTTTTGCTGAGAATGAGCCAAAAAGATAACCCAAACAAATCTTAATAACTCAATAATATAGGATGGGTTTGATGTCATATTTCGCAAACTGAACATTGTTAAATGATCTTTCATTCAATAAAACACGGTCTATTGCAACTGGTCACGATTTTATGGCCATTTTTCATAAACTCTTATATTCATTATTTTCATGTAAAGTAACAACACATAATTTTGCTTTTTGCTGAGGGTGAGCCAAAAAAGGTAACCCAAACAAATCTTAATAACTCGGTAATCTAGGATGGGTTTGAAATCATATTTCGCAAACTGAACCTTGTAAAATGATCTTTCATTCAATAAAATGTCCGTGGTCTATTGTAAATGGTCACGATTTTATGGCCATTTAACATAATGTCAGTCTTGTCTTTGGAGGCAAATTTGAACTGATCAGGTGAAGTTATCTGACTACTTGTACATGCTCACATATATTTTGTGCAATGGCTCTCATTTCCCTTCTAATCTCTTTTTTTCAGTGATGCAGCTTCTGGGGTTGTTGATAAACACATTATCTTTAAAATACCCCCAAAATGTAAAATTCTAGGAGTTAATATTGGGTGATTTGAATATTTTGCAGACTACTGGTATACACGTTATGCAATGTTGAAAAATCATTTCATTGGAAACAAACCAAAAGAACTTAAGAGAATGAACACTGAACAAGATTCAATTGTTCTAAATATGACTTGAAACCAGTACCGGATGACTAGGTAATTAAAGTCAGGCCTCTCTCCGAAACGCAATCTTAGGTTGTTCCCGGGGTCCCTGGTAATATTTTGTGCTTTAATGAGAAAATATACAATAATGAACAAATGGAGCAAATACTGTGTAGAAATACTCACGATAAAGATGTTATTTTGACGATTGTTCATTAAATTGCTGAGAGGTTCGCCGGTAACCAAATTTCTTCGTAGATTTCTAAATTTAGAATGTCACGTGACTTACTAAAAAGAAGTTTAATTATAGTCTGATCCCGGCACCGACTATTTTTATTTTTTAAGTTAATGGTTATGCTTTGATTTTACGCTAAAAAAACGTTTATATCTATGTCAAATCTAAATTTAGCATTTATTATCTCTTCAGTTGTTTGAAAATGGAAAAAAAATTATGTTCACATATTGCGTTTTGGAGAGAGGTATAGGTTTAAGATTTGTTTAGGTTACTTTTTTTGGCTCACCCTGTGTGAGAACTATTTTTTTTCTCTGAACCACTGTTGTTTTGGGTAATTTCGTATCTAGATGCATAACTAGAAAACGGCAACTCCACGGAGTAGCAAATCTCAACGAACACTATATAAATCATGAATCTGTACAGTCACAATGTAATATTTACCATCTACTTTTCCCTTCAATCAATAGTTTAGATCGTTGTCGTGTCATTTTTACCATACTTTTAAGATAACTCTAAGTAATGGCGAATTCCTGCTCTAGGCAGCCATTTTCTACTAGTATTCTAGTTATCTTTCGGACAGACGGACGGACTGACTGACTGACTGACGGACAGACAGACGGAGGGCTTCACTATATCCCTACTGAACTTCGTTCGTTGGGATAATAATTACATTGTTTAATTACGCTAGAAAGTAGCAGTCTTTTGTTCGAAAATATAGGTGCATCTTTGCATATAGATGCCCAAAAGGACAAAATGCTTTTATAAGCATGGCACAGATTGGTGTTTTATTAAATAGTGTTTATATTGTTTTGATGGAAATGCGACATTTATCTCTATAAATTAAGATATACTGTATAGATTACTTACTTATATGCCCTTAATCATCGTGAGATGATGCATTTGAGACGAGATTATTTTTCCACCGAGCAATAATTCATTAATAATTTTCAGCACAATTTTATTTATATTGCACGCAATGCAAAACGCAAAGTTCAAATTTATGACAACAACGTCCGTATCATGTGATCAAAAATCAAATTAAAAATTGTTCAGATGCCTAAATTTGGGACTTATTAAGCACTTTGCTACCAGTAGACATGATGAATTATGGACAGGCCGATGCCAACACAAACACACGACCCGGCATTTGTCGACGGCAGTGCTTTGACAATCCATCCTGAGAGACACGACCTCAACCAAATTGAAATGATTAATTATTCTTATATCATTGAACAGCGATATTCCACTTAACAATGCCTACAAATGCACAGGAAACTATTCTGCATTTCAATATATAAAAATCGACAATTATAGATTTTGCACAATAAAACAAAGCAGACGCCTATAGATCATAAAATAAAAAATAATTACTGCGTTTATATTTATCTTTAAATTATATGGTACTTAAGATCTCTGGGATATGTTACAAGCAGAAAATGTTATTGTTATGTTTTAAAAGCGAAGGTACGTGTCTATACAAAACAATCTGTTAGTAGGCAAAGAAAATAACGTCAATGCACGTAGATAAATAATCTGTGACTACCAAAGAAAGATAAGGCTTGACGATGACGAGGTATCTATGAAGTGATAAATTGCGTCGACTTACTAAAGGTGTTTATCGGTGTTCGCCACATCTCGAGACAATTCATTACAAAACTGCTTCAAATTGCCGTGATATAATTGTTGATTATTTCAAATCAACATAATAACAAAGTATGTGCAATGATTCTAGGGATATTTGAAGAAGTCCCCCATTGCTAAAAACCATTGAAGAAGAGAGGTTGGGAATCCGAGTTTACTTTTTAATTGAAACTTATTTGTTTTGTCGAACTGCTTCATGATACACTACAATAATTGGATTAATTGACTTCAATTGACTTCAAATAAAAAAGGTATGTGATATGGCGCAACTGAGTGGATTTACTGCAGACCGAAATCATCTAAACAGTTTTATCTCAGTATTTTATATAATAGCATTTCTTTTTTTAGATTAAATATTCATTCATATTCTAGACTCTCTGAAACAGCGGAATTCTTATGCGGTTTCTAGATTTCAGACCCAGGGGACCCAGGGGAGCGATACCATTGGGTCTAGTTTATACCTTGGAAGCACGTTTGATGATGTACGTATTTGATTAAATGTCATAAAATGAATTCGTTTGCATCAGGTTTTAGATTAAAGATTCAATCCACACTCTTTTATGTGTGATCCCATAAATATGTGTTAGTATTGTTATTATTGATAAAATATTCTTATAGTGATAAAAATGTATATATTTAATACGATCCTGATATAAACGTTTTTAACGCTTTCAGCCAATATTTTAAATGCGTATGCAGGTTATTACAAAAAAGATTCAATCTCTCAGAAAAGTCGTAGCGAATATTTTACACGTATCTGGACATTTGAAATAAATCTAATTTGCCACTCATTAAAATAAATAATATAAACATAGTTGATAGTTTTAGACCAATGTCTTGTCCAACATTTACAGTTTGCAAAGTAGTTTATTCATCAATTATATCAATGTTCAGTACAGGTAACTGACATCCATACGGGTATATATTTGATTTCACGATTTCATTTCAGATCCGAAGAATAACGATGACGGTGATGATATTCGCATCCAAGAGAAAGCAGACATTTAGCGTGTTTCTGCTAATACTGTTGATCATACTGGAACAAGGAGTGGCTACTCGCAATGACTCGATACAACCGACAACAAATGAAGGAACGACTACCGAACAATTGACAACTTATGATTCCTTGAATAGTACATCAACTACAGCGTCATGGACCTCTTCACAGCAAGCTATTTTTACGAGTGCTACTTATAATTCTACGAATCACAATTCTACAACTGTCGACCCAGCAAATCCTAACTCAACGATTGCTGTACCCAAGAGAAGACCAAGGAGACCAGATCCATACTGTTACCACCCGGACTATGATTTTTACAGTTATATTCACAAGCCACGGGTACAAACGATTATTGCCTGTCAACTGATTCTCAGTACTATCGTAGCCGTTGCTGGCGTATTCGGGAGTATTCTGTCTATAATAGTACTTTCGCGGGAAAAACGTAAAAACACCAGTATCATATTCCTAATCGCAATGGCAGTTTCCGACCTACTTTATCTTTTAGTGTTTTTAGTGTTTGAACCCTTCTATATCGCATACTTTTTCACAAACTTAACAAACCGTACAGATCCGACTGTGATGGCGTTCATCAAGGTGCGACAACTCATTGCAAATCAATTTCTTATTATCTTTGGACTGATCAGTACCTGGTTGGTTGTCTGCCTGACGATTGACCGCTTTATCGCGATCAGATTCCCCTTTCTTGCTCCCACTCTCTGCACAGTGAAGTCCGCAATCATCGAGTTGATAGCGATATGCGTCTGTGCCATTGGAATATCTGTCACTAAGTTTCTTGAACTCGATATCATCCTAGCAACACACCCATGTACTCTGGAACCCATGTATGTAAAAGTACCAGCTGATCTTCTCAAAAACAAAGCGTTTTCACTTGGCTACAATGTCTTGTTCTTCGCAATCATACGCAATTTTCTGCCTGTTATTTTGGTAGTTGTACTAAATGCCTTATTGGTCCATTCATTGAGGGCCGCCACCAAGCGACGAGTGGAAATGAGCGGTGACAAAGAGCACAAGGCAAACGACAATAACATCACGCTGGTGCTTATCATCGTAGCCACTATGTTCCTTATTTGTATCATTCCTGGAGTGATCATGGCTATATTGACCATGTGCCAAACATGGGAAATGCCATTTACACAAACAAATCACTATATCATCGTATTAGAAATCGTGGTTTCAATAGGCCGTCTTTTGACTGTTATAAATTCATCGTGTAACTTCTTCATCTACTGCGCCGTGAGAAAGGGGTTCCGGGTAACGTTAACAAGGATGATCTGTGGAGCCGATTCCAAGTACCTGCCGTCTACGACTTCAACTAGTAACGATACTGTTTCTACAACAGTTCCAAAAACAACTCGTGAAAAAAACAACAAATAACCAATGGGGAAGCACTGAAACTATGTGACGATTGGTGAATAAAGGCATTGCAAATCTTTCCAAAACACCCTGCCACCTTTTGCTGCATAAAGCCATTTAATCATTGCTTCGCCGACGTTACAAAAGATGGCGGGGTTTATGGAAATAACTATCGCGTCCAAAGTGCTTTGAATTCATTCCAAGTTTGGCAATTCTAAAAGTAGAAATGCTTAGAGATGTAATCCCGGCATTGATATTCCAGATATGTTATTTCTTACATGCCCTCTATTATCAAAGGGTTAAAAATAAAAACATTCACATTGTGGCATTTATCAATCCCACACAACTTGAGAATATGACGAGGGAATTACCTAGTGTATACAGTAAAATGCAAAGGATAGGTATCGATATGGTGAACGGAATTCAACAATGTATTTCTCTTAACATTTTTTTGTTTTTTTAGTGCAATTGTTTTTTGTTCCTTTCTACCAATTCTTGAAAATGAAATAAAATGTCTTTCCGAACCTTGTTGGAACAAAATAGCATATACAATATTTTCTTAGACCTCTCAATATAACAGTTATACAAAGGAAAATTGGTTCATTTTACAAAAAGTATGCAAAAACTAAGAACAAAACAAAACCTCCCAAGATAAATGAAAATTAAGATAAACATTTATTTCATTCACAAGATGCTTTTTTAAAATCAATTAAACTTCCCTATGTACAATTACAATATTGAGAGACCTAAACACGTTGTGTTTATGTGGTTTTGTTCCAATGAGGTTCGGCTAGATATTTAATTTATTCCGAGCATATGATACCAAGAATAAAAGAAGTGTCTGATGTGTTTTCTAAAACAATATTGAGAAAAGGATACATAGGGGTTATGCACTGGGAGGTTTTGGATACAGGGAATATCCCGAGGGATATTCCATGTATCCAAACCGACCGTGCATAACTGGTGTATCTCATATACTTGAGTGGGTTTAGGATAGATATAACCTAGATATTTATATTTAACATTTTCGTAATATTCTTTTTGTTCAATACAATGAAATTGTAACATTTAAACTTAAAAAAATTAAATTTTAAAATTAAAAAATTAAAACTTTTGATATTTAAACTTTTTAAACTTTTGAAAAATTCCCGGGAGCGGGATGGATATATTATATCTGCCCGCATTTGGCCTGGAGCGGGACATATACAATATATCCTGCCCGCTCCTCAGATACGATATATATTCCCGGGTGATATCTACCCCAAACCCACTCAAGTATGAGATACATATATTTATCCCATACTTGGACGTGTTACGGGTACATAAGGTCGGTTTGTAAAAACTTATATTTTCATCAGCGGGCAGATATAGCTTTACGTCCCGCTCAGTCATAATCGCTGTTCCCGTATTGGTTTCTTTTTTGTAACGTTCGCATACTGTAAACGACAATGGAGAAAAACGCAGACAATCGCGATCTGTTTGATGCTTTAATTTAAAGAAGAGAAGGAGCAGAATGCCCCGTTAATAATCAAAGATTTGAACAGGAAAATCTGGCTACCAACAAGAAAAAAGTGGACATGAATATTTTAAAATAATTCCACGGTTGGTTGCAAAGTTTCTGAACTTTGGCCAATTGAACAATGTGATTGGTATGGGATAAACAGATCATCCTACAGTCGGTTCAGGATATTGGGATTATCCCTTGGCCAATATAATATATCTACCCTCGGGACCTACGGCCCTCGGGCAGATATATTATATTGGCCTCGGGATAATCCCAATATCCTGAACCTCATATAGGATAATCTCTATTTATCCCATGGTTGCAAGGATATAGATCGAATATCACACGAAGATATATTTGATATGTGGATCAAGATATCATATTTTAGCAAAAATTCACAAACCATCGAATATCACTTTTAAACTATCGAATATCACGTCTTAAAAAGTGATATTCGATGGTTTGAGAAGTGATATTCGATGGTTTGAAAAGTGATATTCGATGGTTTCGAATTCTTTCAAAAAAAATTCTTTTTACATTTTTTAATTATTTTCAAAAATATTTAATCCATATTTCAAAATTTCAAAAAAAATTCAACATTTTTTCACAATTTTTTTCAATTATTTTTTCAATTTTTTTTTCAAATTATATTTTTCGCTGATGATTTCTCATGGGATAAACGGACAATCCTATGGTTTTTCAAAAATATCAATTATATCCACTCATGGATACAAATATCTTCCCTCATTCGCTGCGCTCACTCATGAAGATATCAATATCCACTCATGGATATAAATGATATTTTTTAAAAACCATAGGATATTCCTATAATATATTGTGAAATTATTAAAGAAAATAAAGAAAACGAAGAAGAAATTCAGTTATTACTAGTTTCATTTTGAATCTTCAGATAACTGTACATGAAATCGCAATTTGTATATATGTTTCAAATTATAATGTTACCATCCAAAAGATGACCATTAAATTGACAATGTGTATAAGTTTCAGAATGTTTTGATGACTGGTTTAAGAGAAACGCTTGTTCAAAATTTTAGAGACATTTGTGCATTGAACTGAATTGAATCCTTTCAACTGTTGAACCTCCATCATCATTTCCACTTCTAGTTTCAAAGCCAATAGTATATATCGAACAAATATTTGTGTACATAATATCGAATATTTTATGTTAGGAAAGGTTATCAAAAATATTATTATGTTGGTTAATGTGGTAAAAGAAAGTAACAAACAATTTTTGATCTGTAACTGTAATCTGTAGAACTGAATGTTTTGTGATGGAAATAAATTGAAATTTAAAATTTACTTGACCGACGGTCTAAACATTTTCATCCTAATTGAAAAGTCCGAAAACTAAATAAAACACATTTTCTCATTGCTAGTTATCCAAATTCCAGCGGGGTCAACAGTGGGACTATCAAGTACCGCTACGCTACCACTACTCCTGACAGAGGCAAGATACACGATGCATTGTGGGCTGATTCATTCCACGAAGGTGTTGTTGCCACATCTTTGTATGAACATAGAGCATGAGTACCCGTATCCGCGTTACTATGACAACCACTATTTTGGTATTATGCATTATGTCTCAATCTTTTCAGGGTTGTTATAAAAATGTAAAATGTTTCTTCTCTGAAAATTTGGATGATGAATGACAAGAAATAAAAGTTTTGAGAGCAAAATTAACTATATATTTTTTATGAACCAATTTTTACGCATGGTTTAGTTCATTCCTCGCTTATTTATGAACAAATTTTCTTATTTTTTCGGCAAAAAACGTGAGGATGAATGCTATATTGGTGTATTATATATTATCCCCTATAACTTTGACAACCCTAGCTCCTGCATTGGACTATGTGTTAAAGCCTCTTTATGTTTGAATTTTGGTTACATAACCAGCGATGAAAATACTAATGATGAAGGTGGAAATACTGTATAACTTGACTTCATTTACAATGCCTCTAAATTTTCCCATTCTTTTTTCTCAAATGCAATAGGTCGAAAATTGATGATAAAGATCAATTTTTGAAAACTGTCATTCCCATCGAGAGACCAATAGGAAATGGTTGGTTCGGGGCAAATCAGATTCCTGGATATCTATTCAGTAAATGCTTCAGCTAAAAAGGTAGGGCTAAATCCCCATTAAGACAAGGATGAAAAACCTCGATAAGTTCATTTACTCTTATAAGTATCATAATTTCAATGTTAAATCGCAAGCAACATGGCCATATACTTACATTCAAATCATGTTTTAATTGATCCAAATGAAATTACTTGTAAGATGAAAAATAAATGACTCTTGCAATACACTTCCATGTATTCTAGCCCTATCAACACCACTATGCCATCTATCTTTCCATTCATACAGAACATAGCTATAGTCAGTTGGATAATAGCGACCCCTTTAAATTCATGAGATTATCTTTCATTATTAGATTTCATTTGAAATACGGATTTTTTCAAAGTAGTTGTTTCAAAATTCTAGGACTTTGAAATGGTTTCACATTAGTTGTAGGTTTAATATAAAACCTAAGCATCTCTTATGGTATGGTGATATCAAGTGATTGTTATGGCATCGCTCGTATATTTGGACACTTTTCCTTTTTTATTCATAGAGAATATTTGGAATCAGTTACATTTAAAAGGTGACACAAAAATGCCACCAACATACGTAATGTTGCATAATTTTTTGTTGACAAAAATCTGACTTGTTATTTGGCACATTAAAGTGTAGCATATTTTATATGGTCGATCGGGTATCACACGCAAAAGAATAAACATATATCATGCAGAACAAAGTATCAAATCAATTTATAACATATTATATAATATAATTTCAATCTGTATTGGTGCTCCTGGCACATTCTCTGTCAAATATTGTAAATATTGTAACAGTTACAAATACAACAATCTTGTTTAATTGTGCCATACTCCATACATATTTAAAGGCAGCTTGGTCTGAAATATAAAGTATTATAAGAAGTTGTTATTTGATTTGCTAGATTTACACTCCCCTCCATAAGTTTGGCAACCTTTTTTCCCCATTGAACTACGTGTCAAAGCCTCTTTACGTTTGAATTTTTATTTACTTAACCGGCGATGAAATAACTTATAATATTAATGGAAATGTAACTTGACTTTATTTCCAATACCTCCAAATTTTCTCAATTTTTTTCCTCAGTTACAATAGGTCGAAAATTGATGATAAATTTGATGAATTTTTGAAAATCGTCATTCCCATGTAATCCAATGAGAAATTGAGGGTTAGGGGCAAATCAGAAATCAGGATATCTTTTGAGTAAAAGATTCAGCAAAAATTATTTTCATATAGAAAATTGAATTGTCTAACTTTTTTGAACACTAAGTGTTTAGTTTATTTGATGAATATTAAAGTTACAGCGCTTCAAAGTCATTTTTGAAAAGAATTTTTCGCCTCCTGTGTTATTTCAATGGGAGAGGTTTTTTGAAAAACAATTTTGACTTTAAAGCCCTATAACTTTGCTGAACCTGAAGAAACATAACAATTTTTTGTTAAATAAAGTTAGCAAATTCAATTGCCTGCCTAACTCGTATTTTTTGCAAGGACTCGGATGGATGGATATTCAGTCATATGAATTGCGGCAAACCTACCATTTCCCATTGGTTAACATGGGTATGTCGAGTTTCAAAAATTCATCAAATTTATCATCAATTTTCGACCTATTGCAATTGAGGAAAAAAATTGAGAAAATTTGGAGGTATTGGAATTAAAGTCAAATTACGTTTCCATCAGTATTTTCATCGCATTTTAAGTGAATAAAAATTCAAAAGTAAAGAGGCTTTAACACGTAGTTCAATGGGGGAAAAAAGGTTGCCAAACTTATGGAGGGGAGTGTATCATGGATACTTTCCATATACAATTTCTTAAAATGTTACAAAAATATCCAATTTATCATACTGTAAATGAATAAGTTTTCATATTAAACACATTTCTTTGAGATGGACAACTACATTTTTCCCAAAGTTAATAACAGTTTACTGTATAAGTGGTAATTTTGCCTATTCATTTAATTTGCCTATTTCCTAATTTTTGCCAGGTTCGGAAAATTAAATGTCGGAAATATTGTCTTTATAATGTTATCCAATGGGAGGTTTCTTGTCATTAGGAAAATTAAAATTAGGAAAATGATGAAATTTGACCATTCGGAAAATTAACCACTCGGATTAAATACCACTTATACAGTATTCTAGAAGTAACGTTCCACATGGTCAGAAAGTCAACAAAATTCATAGGTTCAGCTTTTTCATATTTTAAGCCCAGTTTCTCACAGATAACTAATAAAATAGGTAAGTATCTGAAATAAACTTCTCTATCTTTAACTATTTAGGACTACGGAAACACTTGACTCTAAGGATTGGTGTTAATTATGATTTGCTTCGACCCTAATTTCAACATAATGTAACAATTAATAGTATATTGCTACGGTCGCAATTTCAACATAATGTAACTGTAGCACATCACATTGCTCATCCATGATGGACAGTGGATCCGCTTTGGTGCTTCGCGCTTTGTCGACTCTCCTATGGCCTCATTGCGGTCCTTGAACTCGTGTTTAGGCTTTTTAATAGTTTCCATAGGTTTATTGTCTTTGCTTGATTCCTGGAACGTTCTAAAGCCACCTAGGTTTTTAGTGTGCTGCGTTTTGAAGATACCCCTCTCCTGGATGAAAGATGGCCGCTGAAATATGTCTCTCTGATTAGGGTTTCTCAGGTGCGTGATAATTCTTGTAATACGTGTACGATGACGTTGCTGTTGGCATTCCAAACTATCAACTTCTTCCATTGAACAGTCGACGTCACCCAAGGATTCTGTAAATAGATGTAGGATGTTACTAATTAACGTAAATGAAATACCGAATATTTATCTATTCATTCATTCATGCAATACTATTATTAGGAATTTCGAATACAATCACGAGTTGTTGACAGTAAATGTGAATTATACTCTAGTAGATTACATTGTGATCAGATTGTGTCAAATATTTTGATCCATTTGTTTCTTAGCGCTCTGACAACGATGCGGTCAATGAAGTCATGTTATTGATGGTCGCCTCGATAATCATGCAGACCTCCCTCAAAATTGTTTTTAACTAAATAACATATCTTGTGGTATGTTATCCATGGATAGAACACAGTAAACATTATATTTAACTTTCGGTTAAAATATTAATGACATAGAAATCCAGGATCCTATGTCATAGAAATCAAAGGCATCAAATTCCCGCCATCTTAGAGCCAACGTTTTATATCAAAATGTTAAAATATTACAAGAAATTTAAAAGGTATACTTAGCAAGCTGTCAACCATCACCTGAGAATAGTGTATTTTTTTCTGTTAGTACTTATTTTATATACTCCAATTAATACAGTAGCTGGCGGGGTCCTACTGAAAATCTAAAAGTTATGAAATGTGACTTTTTCAACAGTAACCCCCCTATCACACCAAACTAGTTCTTACCCGTTCTTGCCAGTCCTACGAAAACGTCGTAAAACGGGCTCAATCTGGCTGTGGTCGGGAAATATGTCTAAAATAATTAGCGACTTCGTTCATAAACAGTCTTCAATACGTCCACCTCATTCGCAGTTCGTTCAGGTCGCACCACGTCGATGTGCAACTTCGTACAACGCGTCCTTAGTCTAGAAGGTCATCGTGACCTGATTACAGAACGGTATGGTCGCCATCGAATTTTGAATCGATTCAAAATTCTAAATCACATTCCCCGTCCGGGAAAGTCCATGAAGTTCGTAAACAGACCGTAGAACGTTGTAGCTACGTTCATTCCGTTCGCACACAGTTTAAAACCAGTTTTGAAGAACGCAATGGCAACTTCCTTGGTGTGATAGCTATATTTTTGCTAACTCGTTGATAAATACGTTCTTAATCAGTTTTAACCCGTTTGCAGTAAGTTCTACCTCGTTCTCAATACGTCCTCAGATAGTTCAACTCGTTGTAAAAACGTCCCTAGTAGGATTGAAGTACGACGGTTCCGTTCGTAGCACGTCCTGCTCGTCGTTAGTACATTGTCACTCGTTCTAATTGTAGAACGTGACGACCAAGAGAAAGTTTTAGAGGATCTACCCGTTTGAGTAAGTTCGATGAAGTTTGCAAATAGACCCCACACGGTTCTGATAGTACCCTACTATCACACCAAACTAGATCTCACTACGTTCTCGAAAACGGGCTTCAACTGGGTACGAACGGACTGGACTTACTAAGAACCGTTTGGGATCTATTTACAAACTTCATCGAACGTACTCGAACGGGTAGGTCCTCTAGAACTTAGACAATACTCAAAATATTTTCGAGGTCGTCACGTTCTACAATTAGAACGAGTGACAACGTACTAACGACGAGCTGGACGTACTACGAACAGAACCGTCGTACTAGGGACGTTTTAACAACGAGTTGAACTGTCCGAGGACGTGTTGAGAACGAGGTAGAACTAAATGCAAACGGGTTTAAACTGATTAAGAACGTATATAACACTGCTTATGAACGAGTTAGCAAAAATATAGCTATCACACCAAACAAGTTGCCACTGCGTTCTTCAAAACTGGTTTTAAACTGTGTGCGAACGGAATGAACGTAGCTGCAACTTTCTAAGGTCTATTTACGAACTTTATGAACGTTCTCAGACGGGAATGTGATTTTAGAATTTTGAATCGATTCAAAATTCGATTGCGACCATACCGTTCTGTTATCAGGTCATGATGACCTTCTAGACTAAGGGACGCGTTCTACGACGTTGCACACCGACGTGGTGCGACCTGAACGAACTGCGAACGAGATGGACGTATTGAAGACTGTTTAAGAACGAAGAAGCTAATTATTTCAGACATATTTCCTGACCACAGCCAGATTGAGCCCGTTTTACGACGTTTTCGTAGGACTGGCAAGAACGGGTAAGAACTAGTTTGGTGTGATACGCAGGACCTGCGTAAGCACATACTCCAAGGCACAAGATTACATGAGGTATTTTATAGTGGCGTCCCTTTAAATTTTCTGACATAGGGGAAGCTTGACAATTCTGATTATCTTACCTACATAAAAAAGCTTGAAAACTGTCTCAATCGACAAATTATTACATTTGGAAGGGGTGGGGGGTGGGGGTTCAGACTTCATTATTGGTGTTTCGTTTGGTCTACGAAGCATATACGGATATTTGAACATTTAAACAAGCTAGATGGGCATCCAGCAATACAAAGATATATGAAGGGATCTATGCAATACAATACAATTACAGTTTACAATACAATAGAAGCCACCTCATTCTGTTTAAAAGTTCAAAGGGAGATGTTACTATAATAGCTAATTAAAAATTCGCTGACCACTTTTGGTGCAAGCATCTCATATATTCTTGGACCGTTGGGTATGTGTTAAATGTTTAGAGTAAAATTTTAAAAATACTTTTAGATTTTCAGTAGGGGATGCACAGTAGTCTGCTACAGGAGTAAATGCATGAAAGACACTTCTCGGATCTTAGGTCCATGGTTGCCATAGCAACGGTAAACAATGATGTCATAGGCCTGTATAGAGCAGGCAAAGTGCTTTTATTTGTGCTTAATTGGGTGCTGCAGCAGTGGCCATTTAAAAACATTCCTAATGTCCTCCAATAAAATAACAAAACAAGGCGTGTGCGGTTGGTTACTATTAGACTGGTCATCGCCGGGAGAGGTGTAAGTGTAGACACCACGATTAGGCTAGATCCCCGGCGTTACGATGGTCAGTCTAAGACGCTGCGTTTTAATAAAATCCATCGACGCAACTCGACAGCCCCCGTCACCGATTTATTGCATGCACCAGTGTTTCAGGCAGGCAAGTGGGCTGTGCAGACAACAAGAAGGTATCCTTTTTGGGGCAGTATGAAAAGTATGAAATACATGTGTTAGACCGAATATCGATAGCAAAAAATGTTAAACCAATAATTGAATTTTTGGCCTTAAAACATTACGTACACGTTAAAAAGCTCACGGCTGCATTTTTAACTGCCCGCGGCGCAAGTAAATTTCATAATATTTAATAAGTTCGTACGATGAAAAAGAACAATGAGCTCATACGTTGCAAATTACAAGCTCACATGTTTTCTACAAAAACAGCTCATCCAAGCGCATTTAAACTGCTAATTACGCTGTGGCAACCTTGTCGGCTAACTGCGTGTGTCAATCGCGTCGGCTCATTACTAGTGCACAACAGGAGTTTCACTGCAATAAATTATGTGAGTTCAGGAGCACTTGGACGAGCTTTTTTGTTCAAAACGTGTGACCATGTTATTTGCTCCGCAGGGCCTATTGATCTTTTTCGTGATACCTGGGGAGATAACACATATCAATATTACGCAATTAACTTGAGCCGCGGGCATTCAAAACGCAACTTAAATCTCCAAACACGATGCGTCGCTATTATATATCATAAGCATTCCAGCTTTCTATTTACACAATCGTATTTCTCCCTCGCGCGTCATTGGACAATCGTATCTGCTCTGAAAATCACTTTTGCCGCGAAAACAGACATGTGCTGGGAATACTTTATTTAATTATTGAACGTATATTTGATTAATACTTTCTAATTAAATATGAATTTGATATCTCCACTCTTCACTCACATGGTTAAAAAAGAATTGTCAGAATATTGAAACGAATGATTATCATGTGTCACTATTGCTTTACATACTACTCGAGATTACTCAATATACCAGCCGCAGTTTCAATCTGATGTCATTTGTGAATTAATGTGTTTTGTGGACAACTGTATAATAGCGATGTTGAATTGGATGTTGTCAAAATGCGATCTGTACCAAGAAGTGCACTGATTGTACATTGATCAATGCTCTGTTTTAATTTTTAGATTTTGGTTGAATTCATATTTTTTGATTTGATTACTTACTTACAGTAAATTTATTTTAAAATTAAACTAGTTTGAAATTCAATTCAATTTATTCCCCCGGTTTTATTCCTTAATCATATAAATTCAAAATGGAGTGTAACTTAATATTTGAATGAGAAGCACCGCATAACACACCAAACACTTTTCAACTTTTTACATTGGTTGCACGATAGTACGAACATAAAAATATGAATATTTTGATATAATGTTAATTTATATAGGATTTAAGGGTATCTGGTCAATTTGGACCCTAGTTAACTCGGACCCTAGTCAAGTTGGACCGTAGTTAACTCGGACCCTAGTCAATTTGGACCCTAGTTAACTCGGACCCTAGTCAACTTGGACCTTATTTAGTCAACTCGGACCCAATTGTATTCAGCATAAATCAGAGGCATTTTGCTATATAAGTGGTGAAAGCAATTAAGTTGCAAAATATTTATAATATTGGATTAGTTAAGGTATAATTTAGTTAATTTCTGAAATCTTTAAATGATGATGTTTATGTATTCTGATGAGTCAAAATCTTTTCTTGTGTGATCAAAATACTCTTTCTAATCAAGTCAGAATGATTTTGATTCATTTTATAGTGACTTTATATACAGCATTTTTGAAATTAGGGTGTTTAAGTGAACAAAATGTAGAGGTATTACATTATCCAAATATAACAGTACGCGGAAATGTATTAGTGCATTTGTGTTTTAACAAGTATATTTCCAAATTCGTTTTCTAAACATATGTGTGTAAAATTACTTTCTGTTTGTCGAAAATACATGATTATTTCATAACACATTTTTATTTCATATTTCAAAGCTCCATAGGCGCGCGTATAACGGAGATACAATGATTAAATAATTTGGCGATCTTGGTAAGATATTCAATGAGTGGGGAATTTGAAATATATTTTGATTTAATTAATCAAAGAATTACAAAAACAAATTACAGATTTATGAAATGTGGTGCTATCATTTGACTTGAAACTTTAATCCTTTATTTTGATTAATAAATTCCTTAAAAATCATGGGGTTACCCCCTTTAACTTGGTATGAAGAATTGAGGTCAACAACATTCACTGTAATTCACATTGAATTTCTAATTTATTTGCTATTTACTATTTGTTTGTAATATGATTACTCTTGATCTTATGTATTACTTTTCATTTAATTGCTCAAACTAAGGAAAAGGTATAAAAAATACACAGGTCCAAGTTGACTAGGGTCCGAGTTGACTAGGGTACGAGTTAACTAGGGTCCGAGTTGACTAGGAGCTGATTTAAGGACATCAACAAAAAGTACGAACATGCATATGCACTGCATGTATGCAAAAACGAACAAGGTTTGACATTATTTCAGTATCCCCAGCGCATTAATTGTAATTGTTTGGAATGTTTGAGGATCCGTTTCCCTGAAACTGCTCGTACTCTATATACATGTATATATCAATCTGTCTGTATCTAACTTAAACATTTTTCCCTTTGGAAATATCATTATACAATATGAATGAAAAGAATTGTTCCGAACATTAAATGCAGTATCATTTTTATCAATCGAATAGTATTTGTGAAAAGTTGTTCAAGATCTAGTTTTAGTGACTATAAAAAACAATTTTTAACTTAATATTTACTTTCAGATTTCAGAAGTCACGTTTTGTCAGTTGCTGAAAAATTCTGATGTTAGGTAGCAGATTACACTTTTTTAAACATTTCTATTTCCAAAATATAACAACATTTTTAACGAGAACAAGTAAAAATATCTTTTTACATCATTTGTGCAAGTACTATATATACTATCTAAAATGTATTTTTCTTTGAAAAATTATTTTGTGCAAATTGATAATTTTAAATAGTTTAATGATTAATTCGGTTTATCAATACAAAAGGGCAAACAAAGTGTTTTATTTTCTATACAAAATGTCTTCATATTTGTGTTTGTTTATATTTGTTAAAATCGTTTAAAGTTCAAATAAAACAACACTTTTGGATCATTTAACCATTACGATTCTAGAAACAAAAAAGTATCTTTTTTAACGCCTTACCTCTTTTATTATTCAACTCAAATCTAGCAATTGCATCTTGCAATGTTTCAAGAGCTTCCATGCTTGCTGCTGGACGCCCTGATGTGTAACCCCATAGTAATAGACTAGCGGTGCAAATTACCGTTAAATGATTAATTTTGTGTTGCCACATCTTCCTTTTCCTAATACTAACTACACAACTGTTTCGATGCTTTATATTAACCAGAACGCCGCAATTATTTAATAACATCCACACATTTCATTTCATTAAATATATGAGTAATTGCAAGCATTCGTGTGACGCAACATATTCGCCGAGGTGGTAGGAGGAGATGACAAGGAAAATGAGTCCAGAAGGCAGATAACAAAGGTAATACAGTGTTTGTAATTGGGTGGCTGAAAAAACTAAAATCACACTTATCTAATCTCAATTTTGTTTCAAAGTTATTCCAAACATATTTGTAACTCCTAATGCCCAGTAACATTTGCTCTACGGTGACCGTACGTCGACCGTAGTTCCTCGAATTCAGTAGAAATTCTACGACGAGCGTAAGAAAACTGCGATCGCCTTGCGGTCTTCGTATGGCGTATCCAGTTTTACAGGCCGTAGGCTCGCCGTGATAATTATAGCTCGGAAAGATAGTTTACACGATTGCTGGATGTTTAATCAATTTGATACCAAATACTGTTGATAACGCATAAATTAAATGATGAAATACAAAGACTACTATCAAATAATATCAAATTCATTATAATGTAAGAGATACGTGGTTTGGCTGATGCATCTTATGAACATTTTGAATATTTTCTTTCATTTTTTTCAATTTCATTAGGAACATTATAAAGTATTGACTTCAATAATGTTGAAATTATAAGCTTCTTGGTAGAGAATTCAGTATCAGAAATGTTTTCTTATTCGCGCTGAATGGGCGTTCTTCAAAAATATGTCGAATGAAAGGTTTTCTAATTTTATTTAGCGAAAAACTCAATTACACGCGCCTAAAGTGACAGTGAAACTGCAGAAAAATGTAAAATAATATAAAACTTTTTTTTTTCAGAGAAGAAAAAACATGTTAAAGCAATTGCAAAATACAATTTCAATACAGTTACATTGAAAACGTACATTTTACAATACAGTATTTTTTGATACCATACCATCATGTTTTAATTCGTCTTATAATTGTGTGATGTAGGGACAGGATCCGGAAATTAATTTGATTGTCCGTAACACGTCTTTCGAATGTTGGCTACGGTGAATTTGTGATTTGGCGTCATACCATGACATAAGAGCCATTAATGCAATCAGATTTTAATAGCCTAGATGCCAGTAGAAATCTTGATTTACGTCACTATGAATTTAAAATTCGGTCAAAAGTGATATCATATTTGAAATCTGCTTTGAAAATTTAATATTCTTTGAAAATATGGCCCTATGTAATGCCTGGGTCACATTTGCTCCAATCCATCGGCCGGCGCCCGGCCGATTGAGTGTTTTGTTCAATATCGTATTTAATTTTGAACAAAATACTCAATCTCCGAAGCGCCGTAGTGAGAATCGGAGCGAGAATGTGACCAAGGCATTACAAAGTCACAAAAAGTGATTTTTTTCTTGTATTGGACAGATAATATTTCCTTTTACTGGACATATTTTAATTTGTATAACTATCAGTTACAACAGGGTAACATGAAAATTGAACCACTAAAATATCCAGCCATGTTATCTGACCCGAACTAGCCGCCTGGAGGTGAAACTGGTAACTAGCTACTCGCATCTTGGTGATTTAGTTACAGTTTTGCTTAAGCAACACCAGCAACACTGGTTCTGTCGAATAATTACACTACCATACAATTACACTTGGACATGGACAAATATGTTAGTCGTTTAATCGGCGCTCATAATATCACCCTATGCTTAGTGAGCGGAGCTAATTTCAAGGGTGATGGTAAAGACGAGGCAGGGCGCCCAAAAACCAAAAAATATTAGTACCATAATCGTTCAAGTCGTATTATTGCAGCATAAGGTGATGATATTGTGATATTTTATGCTGTTTTAGAAGTGAAAGATGTTAAACTATGCATACCGTTTGTTTTACATCCAATAAAACGAATAGTTAAGATGAAACAGTCGTTTAAAGATACAATTTGAATTTACCGCAAGAAATTACAACCTAATATTGTCAATATGTCAATAATTCCTGATCGATGTCACATATAAAGATATATGTACCTAGATATGTTTTATTTTTTCATATATGCGAAATAAGGCGGTCTCTAGTTATGTACATCCAATGCAAAATGAATGTTTACTAGAGTGTCTATTCGGCGATCAGAATTTCGATGACGAGCAATGGCGATGTAATTTGCGAAGAAAGCATCAGTGCACCTAGTTACAGGCCAGGTTTGGGCGCCATGCCTCGTCTTTACCATCACCCTTGAAATTAGGTCCGCTCACTAAGCATAGGGTGAATATACTGCGTACCTGTATTAATGCCTCAAAACTTTATCAAAAATAACGTCATTAATACACTAATTCGAGCAGCGGAAATTACCGATTTTATTGACTTCGGAAGGTGAATATACTAATTCTAGTTTGCTTTGATATAAAATGACATCAAATATCAAGCTCTCCATCGCAAATTGCCCAAATTAGATCACCTCGTACGTGTTTGGGAGGAAAAAAGGACAATACTCCAGGATTCATATGTCATGAAAATAACCACCTAGGCTGTCACGTTCACCGTTAACCTGTTTGTCATCCCTATTCCTGAACACAATGAGGATAAAGAAGACAATCTTCAATTATGCAACCACAATAGGTAACATAAGTATTTAATTGATTTATGTTTATATATTGTGGTATATGCTCATGCTAATAGACAATGTATTGCGCGGATACAATACGAAGTATGGAAACATGTCACAGCCATGTAACACAACTATGCTTTAAAGCATAAAGACACCATTTATGCAATGTGCGATATAAAACACAATCTCATGCTGTTATGTTTAAGATTATAGATATTCTAATTCAGGTTCTAAAGCCAATTGAGTTCTGTATTTTGATATTTCACAAATATTTAATTCTATTGAGTGAATCCACGAAGCCCGAAGTACTAGTGGAATACCATATAGTGAAAGTGTCACCGAGTATTCACCGTGTATTTTATTCAAACTTGTATTCAGTTTTGAGCAAAAACACTCGTTCGACAGGGCGCCGGCCGACGATGAGTATTTTATTCAAAATTGGCCGGCAAGCCAGGGTATCGTATGGGCGCTGGGCGATTATTGGGCACCATCGGCGGATTTTTAGACGCCGTATGGGCGCCGGGAGATATTTTATCGCAGGGACAAAAGTTGCCGATGTCTTGCCGATTTTTCCCCAACCAAATTCATCGAAAAGTTCTCGGCTATAGTACAATTATCTTGCTAACGCCAAACACACACGAATTAAAATTCAACACGTTTGAAATTAGAGTGGAATTATTTTATTTCCGGTTGATATAACGTCGTAACGTTAGTGAAATCGAACGCGATTTCAACTGATTGGATAACATGATGTGATCATGAGTAGGTTAAGCCCGGTATACACCAATGGGGCAAGTTGGGACCTCCATAGACTTAACATTGCGTGGGACCTCGTGGGACCTTTTGGGATTTTGCCCCATGAAGTCCGTGGGACTCCATGGGACTCCGTGGGATTTTGCCCCATCGAGTCCCACGAGGTCCCATGAGGTCCCATGAAGTCCCACGTGGGACTCGGTGGGACTCGATGGGGCAAGATGGGGCAAAATCCCACGAAGTCCCATGGAGTCCCATCGAGAATGAACATGTTCATTCTTTCCATGGGGCATCGTGGGATTTTCGATCATATGACGTGTTGTGTGAAGCCCGACATACACCAATGGGGCACGGTGGGATTTGATGGGACTTCATGGGGCTTGATGGGACTCCATGGGGCACGATGGGGCAAAGTCATCAAGGTCCCGTGGGACTTCGTGGGATTCGATGGGGCAAATTGGGATTCGATGGGGCAAGATGGGACTCGATGGGGCAAGTGGGATTTTGCCCCATTGGTGTATACCGGGCTTTATGTGAGTAGATGCACGATGAGATCGTGTTATTCTGCGAGCAGCAACCGAAGCGTTTATACACAGTTTTAGTTTATGTTGTAAGTTGTCATACATCGGATTCGAAAATTTAGTTTTATTGTTCGAGGAGGCATACCTTTTTCCCTTTCGAAGTCACAAAGATAATTTTGATCTGGGTTTTAACGGTGTCAGGTCGATAAACTAACGTTTTTCATATTGAAGTTAGTGAACACTTTCTTGTAAGTGCTTTTGACCAAATCAACGTTTTTGAATTAAGTATATGTGTTCTGACGTTGAGGTAACCTGTTCCCATTTATTACTATTTTGGGAAGTATATTTTTCTGCAATTGTTACAATGCATTGCATAATACAGGATGTTAATTAAAACAATTAGATATTAGGTTTCCTAGAAGCAATTATGTAATTTGCATATAAATCTGAATCTCAAGGCATGGTTTAATTTTTACTGACAGCGCATTGTATCTTAGTGAATAAACATGTATTTGAGTGCGTTTCTGTCATATTGTTTCGAGGAAGGCACAAAGTTTTGCTTTTTAAGATATTGATTATATTCGAAAGTCCTTTATATTTTTAGATATGTAATATCTATTTCCAGAAGGGCATCAAGTCTTGGTATTTTAAGATGATAGTTGTGTTCATCAACAACAATTACAGTAGTTGTGTTATATTAATGTGACTAACACATTAAGTGAAGTGCTTGTCAGCTAATTGCATTGATGTATCGCAAAAAGCTCGCGCACGCATTGTTACACATTTTGTGGCGTAATCCAGAGGATCCTCGCTTTTAACATGGTAGAATGTGACGTTTTTGAGAAAAATGTACACAAATGAAAATCCTTTCGTCCTCCACATTTACCTCTCTATCTCAAAACATTTTAGACGAATAACTCTGATATCATATATATATTGTTAATGGGCTAGGAGCATCATAAAACACGAATCAATTGATATTTTAGGTGAAATAAATATACGTGTTGCTGTGCTTGAAAATAGGCGAATGGTGTAAATTAGCCCTATTTTGATGAATTTTGAAAACCTTTCGTCCTCCACTTTTCCACATACAACAGAAAACACATACTTTTGCGAACAAAATCAACTATTTATTAATAAACTAGAGT